GAAACTGGAGAGAAAATATCGCTCCACAGGCCTGCGGGAGTCCTTCCTAGTCTGGAAAAATGGTTTACTGCTGTATAAGAGGACCCTTTGTAAAGCAAGAGCAGCATACTTCTCCTCATTAATAGAGGAGAATAAGAATAATCCTAGATTTCTTTTTAATACAGTTGCCAAACTCACCCAGAGCCATAGCTCAGTTGAACCGTCCATTCCACTTGCTCTTAGCAGCAATGATTTTATGGGATTCTTTATAAATAAGATTGATCTTATTAAAAATAAGATCATAAGCACTCCTCTATCCGCGATTGTACCTGAGGTAGTCATGGAATCTGAACTGGGTTTAGGCAGCTTTGATCCAGTTGAACTCTCTGAATTAGCAAAATTATTGTCTTCATCTAAGCCTTCAACTTGGATGTTAGATCCAGTTCCAACCAGGTTATTTAAGGAGGTATTCCCTTTGATCTCCTCCTCCATTTTAGATGTGATTAATCTATCTCTGTTACAGAGATATGTACCTAAAGCTTTTAAGGTTGCTGGAATTAAACCTCTGCTTAAGAACCCGTCTCTTGACCCAGATGACTTGGTCAATTATAGACCTATATCCAATCTTCCTTTCTTATCCAAAATTCTTGAGAAAGTAGTTGCCAAACAAGTTTGCGATCACTTCCACCATAATGAACTTTTTGAAGAGTTTCAGTCTGGCTTTAGAGCTCATCATAGCACTGAAACAGCTCTGGTGAAAGTCACTAATGATATTCTCATGGCCTCAGATAATGGACTTGTATCTGTGCTCGTCCTGTTGGATCTCAGTGCTGCATTTGATACAGTTGATCAGAATATTCTTTTAGAAAGACTTGAATATTTTGTTGGAATTAAAGGAACAGCTCTAGACTGGTTTAAATCTGATCTATCTGATCGAATTCAGTTTGTTCATGTTAATGATAGATCTTCAACACGCTCGGGGGTTGCCTGTGGAGTACCACAGGGATCAGTGCTAGGACCAATTCTCTTTACTTTATACATGCTCCCAATTGGTAGAATTATTAGACAGCATGGGATTAATTTCCACTGTTATGCTGATGATACCCAGCTATATTCAATTTCAATTCAATTAAATTCAGTTTATTTATATAGCGCCAAATTCACAACACATGTCATCTCAAGGCACTTTACAGTTCAAAGCCAATAGTGTCTAAGATAGCATTAAAGGCTGCTCTTAAGGCATCACCTTTAGTGTCAGGATGGATGTTAAAATCAGTAGCGCAGGATTTCAGTGTTAAAATCAGTGTTTAAATCAGTTGACTGACCCTGTCAGTATTCAACACTGTCACGGTCTTACTTTGTTATATTCCTTTCTGAAAACCAAATCAGAAAGGAATATAACATAGGGATAAAATGGAAATATTCTGCTTCAGCTGAAAGATTCATGTTTGGTGTCAACCTACCTGTCATGATTCTGATCTTTTTGGACTTTTTGGTTCATTTTAAGTTTTTCCTTTGGGTTTTCAGTTAAAGTTGAATTTATGTCATTGGTTACATTTTCATTCAGTGTCTAATAAGTACTTTTCTGGCTATATGTATGCAATGTTGTATTTCTTGTTTACTCTCCGTTCCCCCCTTCCCCCTTCCTGTCTTCTTTGCCCCATCTACCTTCTAGATCAGGCATCCCCAAAGTCAATCCTCGAGGGCCGCTGTCCTGCAGGTTTTAGAGGTTTCTCTGCTTTAGCACAGCTGATTCTGATGATTGCAGTTCAGCAAAAGCCTGTTAATCAACTATCAATGTAAATCAGCTGTGCTGGAGCAGGGAGACCTCTAAAACCGGAAGGACAGTGGCCCTCGAGGACCGACTTTGGGGATGCCTGTTCGAGATCCTTCTGTCCACACCTGCTCCATATCAGTTGATTATTCATTGTTCTGTTCCTCATTCCCTTCGGTTTATTCATCCATAAAGTCTCCTAGTTTTTGGTTCCTGAGTTTTTTGTTGGTTAGTTCTGGATTACGGCTTCTAAAATTTTACTTCATTAAATAAATTTATTGGAGATTTAATTTTTTTATTTATATCATTTAATGGCTGTCTGCACTGTAGGAGACAGCAGCCTCTCCTGTAGCTCTCTAGTCTATACTATTTGTTCACACTTTTTTACCTTTAAATTAGTTCTACTGTGGGATGATTTTATATTTATTGAAATTAACATGAAGCTGGTTTTTTATGTACTCTAGAGAGGAACTGGTGTCACTGAGAACAATGGGATATGCTGGTATACAACACGCCATCCTCGAGGAGCAGAGGAGGAAATACAGGGGCTGCAAAGTCCGTGCTGAGCAAAAGGCCAGGCTAGTGGAGAATCAGAGACACTACAACTCATTAATCCCCTCCATAATCAAGGGGAATGTGAACTCTCTGTATAACAAGATTGATGAGCTGACTGCACTGAACAACCATCAGATTTATAGAGAAAGCAACCTGCTCATCTTTATGGAGACATGGCTAAAGCGCCTCGTACCGGACGCTAATGTGGACCTGCGGGGATTCACTGCGGTGAGAGCCGACAGGGACACTAATGCTAGTGGAAAAACAAAAGGTGTGGGCTTGATCATGTTTGTGAACCACCGCTGGGGTAACCAAGGACATATGTTAGTACAGATTGTTATGCTGCCGGGACCTCGAGCTGTTAGCTTGCAGCCATATTATCTGGCAATGGAATTGAGTCACATGATCACCATCTGTGTTTATATTTTCTCGAAAGAGGACACAGCAGCTGCCTGTGAGGAGATACACGCCATCACAGCCAGGTTACAGACTCAGCAACCTAATGCATTTATAATAACTTTGGGTGACTTTAACCATGCAACCCTTGACTCGAATTTGCCTGTTTTCCATCAGACTGTTGACTGTCTAACAAGAAACAGGACAATCCATCTCCTGTATGCTAATGTAAGGGATGCATACAGAGCCACACCCCTCCCCCAATGGGCAAGTTGGACCACAACCTGGTTCCCCTACAGCCTGTTGGGACAGTCTGCTACTACCCAAATAACAAGCCTTGGGTAACAAGGGGAGTGAAAGCTTTCCTAAACAGGAAGAAGGCTGCCTTCAGGAGCAGAGACAAGGAGGCCATGAAGGCAGAACAGCAGGAGGTAAAACACGGTGTGAGGGAAGCCAAAGACATCTACAGGAGAAAGGTGGAGCAGAAGCTGAAAATAAGATGAGAGCCATCTGGGAAGGTGTGAGGACCATCACAGGCCAAAACGCAAAGACCAGGGCCAGTGAAGGGACAATGGAGAAATCAAATGACCTGAACAACTTCTTCAAAAGGTTTGACAATCCTGTGACCCCTACACCACTGCTGCAGACATATCCCCTTCACCCCACAATGCACCTGCTGCAGAATCTGCTGGTCCTGCATTGAATGAACAGTCCATGGTGGGGGGTGAGGGGTCATTGATGATGTCACGGGACACGCAGCGCTGGGATGAAATGTCTTTAATGGAGGGAAGAGGAGCCCCCATGATCCTCTCTGCTGTTCTCACCTTCTTCCAGTCTGAGGCGCTGCAGCCTCCACACCACACAGTGAGACAGCTGCTCAGAACGCTCTCTATGGTGCTTCTGGAGAAGGTGGGGAGGATGGGGGGGGGGGGGGGGGGGGGGGGCAGGAAGTCCAAGCGCTTCTGGGCCCTTTGGACCAGTGAGGTGGTGTTTCCAGTCCAAATGAGGGTGTCTGTGATGAATGTGGTGCTGCTGACCACCTCTACAGCTGAGCTGTTGATGAGCAGTGGAGCGTGGTCAGGCCGCTTCTTCCTGAAGTCCACCATGATCTCCTTGGTCTTCTCCTTAAATCAGTTGCAACGTCCAAATGTTGGTTAAAATGAGGAAAATAGTCTTCAAGTTAACCTGGTTAAAATCCCCAGCAATGATGGAAACAGCCTCTGTGTGCAGATTGGAGCTCAGAGATAGCCTGGTATAGAATCTTCATGGCCTCTTTAGTGTTAGCGCTGGGGGGGGCATAAACAGCAGTGATGCTAACCACACTGAACTCTCTAGGCAGATGGAACGGCCTGCAGTTAACAGTCTGAAACTCGGAGTCTGAAGAGCAGAAGCTGGAGACTGATCTAGCACCAGTTGTTGTTGATGTAAATACAGAAACCACCTCCTTGGGTCTTACTGCTGAGTTTGCTGTTTCTGTCGACTAGTATAATGTGAGCCCGTCCAGGCTAACAGCTTTGTCCGGTATTGTTGAGTTAAGCCATGTCTCGGTCAGGATGACAGCGCAGCCAATACTAAACTCACTCTTTGAAGAGGGTTCAAGTTGAAGATGATCCATTTTGTTGTCAAGTGAGCGGACATTGGAAAGCAAGACTGAAGGATGCGGCGGTTTGTAGGAGTTTGCTTTTAGCTTTGCCGTTAGCCCTCCTCTGCAGCCGCACATTTGCCGCCAGCCACACCCTCTTTGCTTGCTCCTCCTCCTGCGGCGTGTCCTGATCTGCAAGTCCACGGCATTGAGGGCCTCTGAGACTTTTGCCCGGAGCAATCTGAAGCTATGTAAACAATAAAAGAGTAGTTGTATTTATGAATTTGAAAACACTTGACCGTAACTCCAGAAGGCGCTGGCGGTCAAATACTGATTTAATGGATTGATATAGTTTGTGGATGCTAGGCGACATACTTTTTTTGAAATAATTTCAGGTTGCCGGGAGCTATACACAGCCATAGCCATGAAATATTGACCTTTAATATGAAAAAGTTAGACTGGCTAGCTAAACTGATAAGGTGTAAACATGGCATATCAGTCTTGGAAGAGCTCGATTCCATGGCAGACCCAGACCTTGAAACAAACTTTTCAGTCTAGAGGAAGCGGAGCAGTTTTATCCTCTTGGCTCTGGATCATCTACTGCACCAATGAACATCTATTCAGTTCATTGGCTCAAGTCTCAACCCATCAGCTGTTAGTAAGGTCACATCATGAGGAACAGCCAACCACAGAGCAGTCTCAGCATGGACTTACCTCTAGGCTCCAGCCCCTGCTGCTCCAGCTTTACCAGGTGGCTTTTCTTTGGTCTGTTTCTCTGTGATGTCACCCTCATGTGTTTGCTCTGTCCAATCTCTTCCCTCAGCAGGTAGAACCAACCAGTGATTAGCTGACAACATGGAGAGGGGCGGGGCCAGAGGGGATCATTAGGCGTGTCTAAACATCTACAGCCAATCCTGGAGCAGCATGTCCTGCTCTGACTGGTTTAGACTTACCTGAGAAGATCTGATGAGGGATCCAATTCCAAAACTCATACAACCAATCAGCTGGCTGCACCTGTGGAGATTTAGAGACGGCTATTAAGCTTGGTTTATGCGTGACAAACCGCGAGGTCTGTGCAGCCAAATTCCTTCATTTTGGGTTTCCATGCCCCTCTGGATGGACACATTTTCCTAGGTGCTGCGTTTGGAAATTCTGTCCCCATGGAGCATCTAGGAACATTTTGAACTACTCAGATGGAGCCGCACGGAAAACATAGCGAGCAGCAGCTCCTGCTGGAGCAATCCGGTGATTTAGCCCATAAATATCAACACTGTTAACAGATTGTGGAAAAAATCCAGGAAAGAAATGACAGTGGCTCCTGGATGGCATGAAGAGGCTTTAATAAAGTTGCAAATTGCAGTTTTTAACGTCCTTGTGTAGTGTGGTGGTGTCAGCTCGCTCTTTGTGCTGAACACAGCACCCAGAGCCGGCCATGACGGGAGGAAAGCCAAGTATAAACTCTACAGACGCTGTGATGGATGGCTCATTTTCCGTGCATCTACCATAATGAACGCTTTGGGTTCCAGCCCTTCACCTGCCAGGAGACGGCAGCAGTAGGTTATCAGTTACCTGGAGTCGGGTAGACATCTGTGCACCGAGATCACCAACCTGCCCTGGAGGAGGGGCTCTGACACGCTCCTGAAACACAGGTCATAGGTGGGGGTTATGGATCAGAGGTCAGGGTCATGGATTAAAGGTCACATCATTCACTTCATGGGTTTTCTGTACCAAAAGGTCCAGCTCATGTGACCTGAGGTAGAATCTGGATTCTATTCACTTTCATCTTAACCCAGTTGTCCAATTACATTCAGAACCAGAAACCTGAGGGAACCCAGCAGAACTTTTCAGCAACCTGAATTTTGACATGCGTGTGGCGACAGTGGGGGGCAATAAATCCTTTTTAACATGAAGGAACATGAAGAACCAGCTTCTGTCCTATTAGATAGTCTGTTTTTGAAGAACTGATTAGCAAATCTTGGACCAGGGGTCAGTTTCCCAACGCAGGTTTAACTCACATTCAAATCTGCATCTCTGAATTGATATAGCCTAAGGTTGGAATATCTGAGTTTTCCGTTTCACAGCAGCTGCTCTACAGTAGTTCAGTCAACTCTAAGTAGATCCCGATTCAATGAGACACCATGACGACAGGCCACAGGCAGTGCCTGTTTCAGTCCTGTATGGCAGGTCGTTTTGAAATTTATTAAAAGAACTCTCATCTCTGTTGTTCCATTTGTAGATCACTAAAATTAGATTCTTCCTGATAAAAATGACAAGCAGACTGAATTGTAATATTTTCTAAATTAATTTTTTGCAGCAGAAACTCAGTTTCAGAAAGAAAAGGCAAGTAGTGTAGAAGGTTATTCAATTTAAGTGGCCATTCTGATATTTATGCGCTTCACTGAATATGTATTTATGATATCTGAAATACATTACTTCATAATCAAAATAATTCAAATACCGACCGGTAACAATACAAATATGTTGATCTGAAATACATTTCCAGACATTCAGAATGTTTAGTCTAGATGCTGAAAAATCTAGAATTTTGTTTAAAAATCATAATTTTTACAATACCCCCTCCCCCCACACGGCCCACCCCAGATATCAGGAATACATGTTCAGTCAAACAAATACATATCAAACTGGCTTGCCATAACCTGCTGTGACCACAACAACATTATCGGTTTATTTGAAAGGTAGTAGATCAATGTATCTATTTTGGTGAAATCACCTGTCAGCAGGTGAAGATGAAGAATAAAAACATTGTTCCAACAGGTAGGACCTGTGTATCATTATGGGTTCCTCCTCAGTTTGATTCAGTCTTCCATAACAAAGTAAATATTAAGTGGCTGTTTTTAGCTGCTTCAGATGTTATCCTAATAAAGGCCATCAGTCCCATAGAATGGCTTCAGATTGTGCCAGTAAGCTCAGCAGGTTGTCATCACAAGGTAAATACTAATCTTAAATTCACACGGAATTAACGTAATCTGAAAATAATTTCAGGAGTTCTTAATTTACTGTAAAAATAAATAAAGTGATTTGCTGCTCATAATTCAATTCAATTCAATTCAGTTTATTTATATAGCGCCAAATTCACAACACATGTCATCTCAAGGCACTTTACAGTTCAACCAGATCATACAGTCAAATTGATACAAAGTTTTCTATCTAAGGAAAACCAGTTGATTGCATTGACTCATTGACTCAAATACAATCCCCCACACTAAGCATGCTTGTAGCGACAGTGGAGAGGAAAAACTCTTTTTTAACAGGAAGAAACCTCCAGCAGAACCAGGCTCAGTGTGAGCGGCCATCTGCCGAGGCCGACTGGGGTTCAAGGAGACAGAAGCAGAGATACAAAAAGCAGCTGTAAAAGGCGGCCCCGTCCAGGAAACACACAGCCAGGCAGACGAGCTCCAAGGCAGCTCCCATGCCAGAGGACGAAGAGAGCACATCCACTCAGTCACGGTCAGAGAAACAGGACCACACTGGAAAACAGGCCGATCTCCAACATCTATTAACAAGGGTGTTGATAGAAGCAGCACAGCTGATGTTTTTTTCCAGGATGACGTCACAGCCAAACAGGAACAGACGAGGCAAAGCTACTCTGAGGAAAAGCAGAGAGAGCAGAAGGTTAGAGATTGAACTAACAGATTCTGCAGAATAGGAGAACAGAGAGAGAATAATAAACTTAACGAAAACAAATAAATCTTATATCCTGTCAGCTGCCTTGTACAATCTTGTTCCCATAAATATTTGATCATATCAAAGAGGTTTCTAGAATTTCCTTCTTTCATCTGAAGAACATTGCAAAAATGAGCAATCTCCTGTCCAGGGGTGATGCTGAGAAACTAGTCCATGCATTTGTTACTTCAAGGCTGGACTATTGTAATTCTTTACTATCAGGAAGTCCACAAACTGTAGTTAAAAGCCTTCAGCTGATCCAAAATGCTGCAGCCAGAGTTCTGATGAAAATTAAGAAGAGAGATCATATCTCTCCTATCCTGGCTTCTCTTCATTGGCTTCCTGTTAAATCCAGAATAGAATTTAAAATCCTCCTTCTCACATATAAAGCCTTAAATGGCCAAGCTCCATCTTATATCAGAGATCTGATTGTTCCTTATGTTCCTAACAGAGCACTTCGCTCTCAATCTGCAGGTTTACTAGTGGTTCCTAGAATTTCTAAAAGTAGAATGGGAGGCAGATCTTTTAGTTATCAGGCTCCTCTCCTGTGGAACCAACTACCAGTTTTAGTCCGTGAGGCAGACACCCTGTCTACTTTTAAGGCTAGGCTTAAAACTTTCCTTTTTGATAAAGCTTCTAGTTAGAGTGGCTCAGGTTATCCTGAGCTATCTCTATAGTTCTGCTGCTATAGGCTTAGACTGCTGGAGGACATAGGGACCCCCATTTCATCATTCTATCTTTGTCTCTATTCTCCCAGTATCTGTTTCTTGGACTGTGACTAACTGGATGTACTCTCTTCATCCTCTGACATGGGAACTGGCTCGGTGCTCGACAGGGACTAGCATGCACCCCAGATCCTGACCCTATCAGCCTGTTTTCTACTCTCTGTAAACACATGGTGAAATGCTACAGCAGACTAAAGTGTGATCAATTTTCTACTCACAGAAGAAAATGTATCTGTTTCAGGCTGAGTAGAACCTGGAACACTCACTAAGATAAAAGACCTCACATTTGTTCATAGATGTTCCTATGGGAGCTCTGATGGGTTCTGATGGTGTGCAGTTGTCAAAATAAGTCCAGTGGCTGTTTACTTTAGGACATTTATCTGGTACCAGAACCAACATCCTCAGAGGGAATAGCAGAACATTAGGGGAACATGACTCACAGAGAAAAGTTCTACTGGTAAGTTGGGTTTTTATTGTTCTGGACCGTTCCTGTTTTCATCCTGATGCTGCGGCAGAGGTCAGAGGTCACACCGAGCTGTGAACACACAAATAGTTGAGCCAGCTACAAAACATCACCATTTACCCGGTGGGCAGCATCTAAACCATCTCACCTCTACAGACGAGTCACATGACCTGCAGGATTTTCCCATCAGCCCTCGGGCCTCGTGGACTGCAGACAGGAAGCCGACCAATCAATATGGGACCGGTGCTGGACAAGTACCTGACCTACTTCACAGAGATGCATACTTACTGTAAATGGTGAGTTGTCCTGCCTCCGGTGTGATTGACAGCCTCAGCTGACCTATGGAGAGCAAGAGGTTAACATAGCCGCCAGCTGTTTGGTCCGTCTAATGATTATTGATTCCTGATCATACCCCTGCTGCTAAACACAAACTGTTGGACCTTCCTCCTCCTGGACTTTGGTCTCGTTTCGGTCTTGGTCTTTGACCTGGATCTGGTCACCTGCTGCACCGCTGCTCCTTGATCAGAACTCCATGTGGTTCCGGTGTCTAGCAACTGATAAGAGACCAAAACAATGTGGATCAAAATCCGAACTGGATCGGACCCAAACCCTTTGGATCAGAATCTGAGGTTTGACCAAAGACTGACCTTAGAGCTGGTTTGAGCCTCTTTGTTCTGGTCCACGTGTGTCTCAGTGGATGTGGGATCAGCCTGGTTTCTAGGGATCACAGCAACGGCCGAATTCTGGTTCAAAGTATGCATGGGGTTCTGGATCCTGGTCGTCCTGATCAGTGCTGTTCTAATCTCTGGTCTGCAGGGAGGGACCTCATGTCCAAACATGAATCCAGTATACCCGGTTCTGGTCCTGTTCCTTAGAAACCTACATAAGTGAGACAGCATCAGAGTTTGGTTCTGATGATCTGAACCAGACTGGCTCAGGGTCTGGTTTAACCTGCAGTCTGTATGCCGGTTCTTTTTTTTCCTGGCGTTCTGAAGAGCTTCTCTTGGCTCTTTGTTCTCTTTCCAACAAGGATTTTGGTTCCCGTCTTCCTGCTCCACTCTGCAGCTCATTTTGCTGCCCTGTTCCCAGGCCTCCTGGTCTGGCCTTGGATCCACGCCTCTGGAGACCCTTTGGAAGAAAGTAGATAATGACCAGAGCAGCAAGGTGAAGCCACTGAGCAAATATTTCCCAGAATGTCCTGCTGGTAGATGTTAGGAAGCTTCTTTTTTCTTCATATTTACCCTGCAGTTCTTCTGACAAAAGCTCAAATATGGAGCCGAAATGTTCATGTTTTGTCAGAGTTCTGGGTTTGTAATAATTGAACTTTGAACTTTATGGACCTCACATTGGATAAATTTACCTCTGCATTTAACCCCTCCCCTTGGGTAGCAGTGGGCTGCCATTGTGCTGTGCCCGGGGAGCAGGATGGGTTAAGGGTCTTGGTCAGGGACCCAGAGTGGCAGTCTGTGGGAGTGGGACTCAAACTCAGAACCTCAGGATTCCAAGCTCTATGTACTAACCCTATGCTACTAACCACTAGTACTGAAGTATGTAGCTCTTGGCATCAGAAGCTGGATCGAACGAAATCCATCAATTCCATCAGACACCAAATGTTTCAGCGTATTTCTACAGCACTTATTCACAACACATATCATCTCGAGGCACTTTACAGATACAATTCAGATCATCCAGTCAAATTGATTCAGTTTCCCATCTATGGAAAACCAGCTGATTGCATCGACTCATTGACTCTTCAGCAATCCCTCACACTAAGCATGCTTGTAGCGACAGTGGAGAGGAAAAACTCCCTTTGAACAGGAAGAAACCTCCAGCAGAACCAGGCTCAGTGTGAGCGGCCATCTGCTGAGGCCCACTGGGGTTCAAGGAGACAGAAGCAGACATAGAAAAAGAAGCATAGATACAAAAGGCAACTGTCAACCAGCTCCACAGGCGGCCCCGTCCAGGAAACACACAGCCAGGCAGACGAGCTCCGAGCCAGCTCCCATGTCAGAGGATGAAGAGAGCACATCCAGTTAGTCACAGTCAGAGAAACAGGACTACACTGGAAAACAGGCCAAGCTCCAACATCTAGAAACAAAGGTGTTGATGGCAGCAGCACAGCTGATATTTCTCTCCAGGATGGAGTCACAGCCAGACAGGAACAGACCAGATGAAGCTACTATGAGAAAAAGCAGAGAGAGCAGAACGTTAGAGATTGAACTAACAGATTCTGCAGAGTGGGAGAATAGAGATAGAATGAAACAGAATGATGAAAAAGGGGTCCCTATGTCCTCCAGCAGCCTATAGCAGCAGAACTATAGAGATAGATCAGGATAACCTGAGCCACTCTAACTAGAAGCTTTATCAAAAAGGAAAGTTTTAAGCCTAGCAATTGTCCATCCTTGAAGTAACAAATGCATGGACTAGTTTCTCAGCATCACCCCTGGACAGGAGATTTCTCATTTTTGCAATATTCCTCCCGAAAGGGTGCATATTTATAGTAAAGAGAATTGGTCCTAGCACTGATCCCTGTGGTACTCCACAGGTAACCTTTGAGCGTGTTGAAGATCTATCATTAACATGAACAAACTGAAATTGATCAGATAGATAAGATTTAAACCAGTCTAGTGCTGTTCCTTTAATTCCAACAAAATATTCAAGTCTTTCTAAAAGAATATTATGGTCAACTGGATCAAATGCAGCACTGAGATCCAACAGGACGAGCAGAGATACAAGTCCATTATCTGAGGCCATGAGAATATCATTAGTGACTTTCACCAGAGCTGTTTCAGTGCTATGATGAGCTCTAAAGCCAGACTGAAACTCTTCAAAAAGTTCATTACGGTGGAAGTGATCGCACACTTGTTTGGCAACTACTTTCTCAAGAATTTTAGATAAGAAAGGAAGATTGGATATAGGTCTATAATTGACCAAGTCATCTGGGTCAAGAGACGGTTTCTTAAGCAGAGGTTTAATTCCAGCAACCTTAAAAGCCTTTGGTACATATCCCTGTAACAGAGATAGATTAATCACATCTAAAATGGAGGAGGAGATCAAAGGGAATACCTCCTTAAATAACCTGGTTAAACAGAATACCTCCTTAAATAACCTGGTTGGAACTGGATCTAACATACAAGTTGAAGGCTTAGATGAAGACTATAGTTTTGCTAACTGTGAAAGTTCAACTGGATCAAAGCAGTCTAAACCCGGTTCAGATTCCATGACTTCCTCAGGTACAATCGCGGATAGAGGAGTGCTTATGATCTTATTTTTAATAAGATCAATTTTATTTATAAATAATCCCATAAAATCATTCCTGCTAAGAGCAGGTGGAATGGACGGTTCAACAGAGCTATGGCTCTGGGGGAGTTTGGCAACTGTATTAAAAAGAAATCTAGGATTATTCTTATTCTCCTCTATTAATGAGGAGAAGTATGCTGCTCTTTCTTTACAAAGGGTCCTCTTATACAGCAGTAAACCATTTTTCCAGACTAGGAAGGACTCTCGCAGGCCTGTGGAGCGATATTTTCTCTCCAGTTTCCTAGCATTTTGCTTCAAAGTGCGCAGCTGTGCATTAAACCAAAGAGCCAGCTTTCTATTTTTAACCGTTTTCATTTTCAAAGGAGCTGCGTTGTCTAAGGCAGTACGCAGAGAACTAGCAACCCCATCAACAAAATCATCAACCGGTGAAGGGGAATAAGCTATGCTTTTGCACTCTGCAGCACTGCTCAGCGACACAGAGGAGAGAGAAAGTGAAGCAGATTCTTTAAAATTTATAACTGCACTATCTGATAAAGATCTACTAAAATGTAACCTTCTTTTGGGGGAGGAGAACTCTGTTAAAGTAATCCTGAAGGTTATTAGAAAGTGGTCAGAGAGGACAGGGTTGTGAGGAAATACTGTTATTTCTTCACATTCTATGCCGTATGTCAGCACAAGATCCAAAGTATGAAGATGAGAATGTGTGGGACTATTCACATTTTGAACAAAGCCAATAGTGTCTAAGATAGCATTAAAGGCTGCTCTTAAGCTATCGCCTTCAATGTCAGCATGGATGTTAAAATCTCCCACTATGATGACCCTGTCAGTATTTAATACCAAATCAGAAAGGAACTCTGAAAACTCATCTAAAAATTCAGAGTAAGGACCTGGTGGACGATACAAAGTTACAAAAAGAAGAGGTTTTCTTGCCTTGAAATTTGGATCAGGGAAATTAAGGGTTAGACTGGATCCTTTGAAGTCCTTGAAAATAAGGAGGCCGGAAGAGTTTTGGCTGTGAATTCAAACAGGTCTACCCTTCGGTGGGTTTTTACCGCCGTATGCTCTGTTGCTTAGCAACCGTGAAAGTTGACACACAAAGCAGGAAAAGAATGAAAACCGAAGTTTTTAAAACTGTTTGTTTATTTATTTCTTATCATAAAGTGACCAAAGACTGATGAGAATCCAGAGTGGAATAAAGATTCCAACCACCGGGAGCAGGAACCAATAAAATCAAATGTAATGATAGAAACCTTAGTCAGTTAAATAACCTGCTGCTGTCATTCTGCACATCTCTGATGTTGCTGCTATTTTCTAATTACTGTAAAAATGTCCATAGCTGCATATTGGTTATTTATTCTCCAGTTTTATATTGTTAAAACACTTTACAGGATTTTATTGTTTATATTTTAACTCTTCCCTATTATGTTATTCTTAGACATCTTTCTAAGATCCACATTTGTGTGACCATTTTCAATAATCTTTCTGCTGCTGTAAATTTGCTCATTGTGGGACAATAAAGGGATTTTCTATTCTATAAAAGGGGTAGAAAGATACACTATATTGCCAAAAGTATTTGCTCACCTGCCTTGACTCACATATGAGCTTAAGTGACATCCCGTTCCTAATCCATAGGGTTCAATATGACGTCGGTCCACCCTTTGCAGCTAGAACAGCTTCAACTCTTCTGGGAAGGCTGTCCACAAGGTTTAGGAGTGTGTTTATGGGAATTTTTGACCATTCTTCCAGAAGCGCATTTGTGAGGTCGCACACTGATGTTGGACGAGAAGGCCTGGCTCTCAGTCTCCGCTCTAATTCATCCCAAAGGTGTTCTATCGGG